AGTCGTACCGTTGGCAGAAAACGATTTACAGCTGGCTTTCAGGGGTAACTAAGCTACGAATATCTGGCAATATAACAGCATTCCTTGCCTTGCTTTCTCTCAGGCTTCGCAGTATTTTGTCAATTTATAAATCATATGTATATGTATTGGTGCATGTGTCTGTTTATCTTTTTATATATGTTTATTCCTTTATCATGAAAATGCTGTTATTATTTTGTCATGGAAGTTTTAGTAAAGGGAAAGACGAAATATTAGCAATTGTGCTATAGGAAATATAATTAGGAGACATTAGGAGTGCATTTTTAATGACCCAAATATCAAAGAAAGTTGGTAGAAGTTACACATACGAAATGACAAAATATCATAACAAAGAAATGAATTATATCAAATTAGAATGTATTTAATTTCACTTTATCGCATGGGTTGAACTGTAATTATCAACTTAGACTATTTTCCCACTCGAACAAGGGTTAAAATAACTTTCGTTCCCATGTCGATAAGATTTTGTCCCTTTGGAAGGAGGTAAATTCCCTTGCTGGCGTAAGGTGCCATGTCTTTTTTTTACGTTTAGTCTGATTAAATAATTCTGCTTATTACTCTTATTTTTTAGGTCAAGGGGATGTTATTATTTGGGCCAAGGGAATGATCGTTACTCATAATGGTTTGGTTATCTTTTATCACTTTTACTTCGTAGTTTCTTTTTTCGTCTTTCTATGCCTCTCCTTCATACACAGTGCCTCCTACACTGATACACTGTTTTTAACATTTGCTTCACTGACCTTTAACTTTTTGGATTGAAGATTACCTTACACTCTAGTAACGGAAGACTGTTTCAGAATTGGTGTTCTAATAATCAATCAAAACACATTAATCAACCAGACCAATGACGCAACAACCTTGATTCAGTAGCTGTAATGAATAGAACTCAGCTGGTCATTTTGGCAGTCCCTTCCTCTACAATACTGTGTTCTGGTTGCAAGAGCAGAGGGATAACCAGGAACTGTTACATATTTACGAAACATGTAAACATATGTGTAAATTCATGAACATCATCTGGGACTTCACAACATTTGTCCTTGTACCATGTGTATATCTTTTATTTTATCCTCATTATCCTTATCATAAGACTTACTCGCTTCGACATTTTTGGAAAACTTGTTAATCTACGAATTGAAGTTGACGCTGAAGGTCGTGCTAGTGTAAAACTTACAAAGGAGTCAATATATGGAAAGGAAACAGGAAACGGACACTAAACTCTCCTTTAGAGTAATATTCAGCGAAGTAGTCTTGTGGCTCTGGACTCCTTCCGTTTCTCTGAGGGTTAAGACGAGATAAAATGGGAAATGATTAATGAATTTAATTTTCTGGTTTGTAAATGATGTATCAAATATTTCGTGTATGAATACTCTAAGATTATTTATAATATGAGCGCAGTAAAAAAAGATGGCGTTCATATCATTCTAATTACATGTTCCCGAAAGATTCATTTGTGACATTTAAACCTACTGCAGAGACAGACAGACAGACAGACAGACAGACAGATAGATAGACATATATATAGACAGTGTTCAGGATGATAGATTTTATAATTAGATATTTTAGGGCTATCGTTTTGAATTTTTAGGATTGTTTGTAACATGGTTAGTCCAGCGTTACAGATTACACGTGAAAGCGCAAAATAAGGAAGGAAAGGATAATAATGGTGGTAATATATGTTAATGATTAATAATGATAATAATAATAATGAAAATGATAACAGTAACAACAACAATAGTAATAATAACAATAATAATGATGATAATAATAACATCGTTAAAATTTTAAATAGTAATAATGATGATGATAACAATAACAATAATAATGGTAATAATAATAATAAAAATAATAATAAATATGATAACAGCGACAACAACAACAATAATAATGATAATAATAATAACTTATGATGATAAATGATAATGATACTAATTATGGTAACAATTATGATAGTACTAACGATGATAATAATAACTGATAGTGATAATGGTGATAATAATAACAATAACATTGATAATAATGAATAATAAAAACAACAACAATAATAATGACATTAACAACAACAATAATAATGACATTAACAACAACAATAATAATGAAATGAACAACAACAATGATAATGACATTAACAACAACAATAATAATGACATTAACAACAACAATAATGACATTAACAACAACAATAATAATGACATTAACAACAACAATAATAATGACATTAACAACAACAATAATAATGACATTAACAACAACAATAATAATGACATTAACAACAACAATAATAATGACATTAACAACAACAATAATACCTCTTATATAAAGAAAAATGCGTCGTTTGTGGAAAAAATAGCTTGATCAACAATGCCATTGACAATTCCTTATATATGTATGTAAGCATGTGTATACGTATGTATATGTGTGTGTGTGTGTGTGTTTGTTTGTTTGTTTGTGTGTGTGTGTGTGTGTGTGTGTGTGTGCGATTCTCGGTGCAACGAGTCAAACGCCTTCTTAAGGTCGATGTAGGCTGCAAGTAACCCATGACCAAACTCATGTGTGTGTGTGTGTGCGTGTGTGTGTGTGTGTGTGTTTGTGTGTGTGTGTGTGTGTGTGTGTGTGTGTGTGTGTGTGTGTGTGTGTGTGCGTGTGTGTGTCCGTGCATGCCTGTGTGTGTGTGTGTCCGTGCATGTGTGTGTGTGTGTGTGCGCGTGTGTGTGCGTGTATGTGT